TACTTACATCTGTAGCCATCAGCTCCTCCTTGTCATCAATGCTGGGAACAGTGATCTCACCTTGACTCACAAAGTGGAAATCATAAGGGTTGGTGGTGATGAGGAGCATGTCTGAAAGTTAAAAATGGAAAAATCAGAGTAACTTGAGCTTTCCAGATGACACAATGGATATTGTCCAGTTATATACTTTCAAAAAAGTTAGTGATCTACTTACCAATTAGCTCGGGCTTCTTGTTGGAAGTGACCTGATAAAAGATGTGGTAGCTTCTTTCTGCCTTGAGCTGGAAAGGGACTCTGGACTTCTCCAGCAGATCTGGCAAGGAAGGCAGGAAGAGTCAGGCACAAGGCCACACGTGGAGGTGGGAACTGGGGAAGGAATGGGATCAGGCCAGAGGAGCCTCTTACAGGTTTCAATGTCAGCAGAAGCCAGTTTGCCTGTAGCTCCAAAGTGGATTCTGATGAATTTGCCCTGTTCAGCAGAAGAAGCAGCATTTCAGCCTGAGATTCAGAGGTTCTGCCCAAATGCAGAGATTTTTCCCCAAGCAGCAACTCACAAAGCGTGAGGAGTTGTCGTTCCTCACGGTCTTGGCGTTCCCAAAGGCCTCCAGCAGCGGGTTGGCGCTGATGATTTGATCCTCAAGCGTTCCCTGCAGGACCATAATTATTGCTGCCTCCTTGCCAAAACCATGTCAGGAACACAGGAAAGCTTTGATTCAAGCCAGTCTCTGATCATTTACCTGCATTTTGCCAGACTGCTCCTCCTTCTTCTTCTCCCCACTGGCTGCAATTGTTGCAAAGTACTGGATGACACGCTTGGTGTTCACAGTCTTCCCGGCACCGGATTCTCCGCTGCCAAAGGCAAGAGAAGCAGAGAGCGTGTGGTCAGGCAGGAGATCCCCTGGCACTGGGCAGCCCCACAGGGACCTGAGCAGGGAGCTACGTACGTGATCAGGATCGACTGGTTCTCGCGATCTGCAGAGGAGGCAAAGACAAAGATGCTGTTAGTGGTATTCTTGAGTAATACAGACCACAATGTGATTTCTTCTTTTGATGCAACCCAGGACATGGTTGGCTATCTGGCCTGCAGGTGCACTTTGCTGACTCGTGTTGATCATCTCATCAACTATCACCTGCAAGTCCTTCTCCTTAAGGGCTGTTCTCAATCCATTCGTCACCCAGCCTGCTTGGGATTGCCCCAACCCGGGTGCTGGACTTTGCACTTGGCCTGGTTGAATTTCATGTGGTTGGCATGTGCCCACCTCTCAAGTCTATCAAGGTCTTTCTGGATGGCATCCCTTCCATTCAGCATCTCAACCACACACACTGCTTGGTGTTATCAGTAAACTTGCAGAGGGTGCACTAAATTCCACTGTCAATGTCACCAACAAAGATGTTAAACAGCACTTGTTCCACTCCTTACCATGGAGGATCACCACTCATCATTGGTCTCCATTTGGACATCAACTGTTGAGAACAAATTTTCACTGCCCTTCTTTCTTATTGTTTTCATTTACATTAATGAATGAAAAATAATAACTTGTTTCTGAGATGGAGGGTGGAATTTTCAAAGCAAGTTTCAATGCAATGTCTGACTAAGATTGCTTCCTGAGTTTTTATCATACCACCATAGGAAGCCATGGCTTCAATGCCAAATCTCCTTTCCCTTTACAGAACTCCACCCTAGTTACTTTCAGTTCTGGAAAACAAATAATTCAATGAACAATCCTCTCAACTAAGGAAAAAAACAGACCTTTAAAAGTTTGTCCTAGTTTATTTGAAGGGAAATATTACACTGTATTCAATGTTTAACAGTATCCTCCTAAATATCTTAGTAAAGTCTAATATTGATTGTTGAAAGCATGAACTCAATTATAGTGTGTAAAGAAAATATTTTCAATTATGAAAGGACATCCACCCTCTGAATACCATTAAACTGGACGATGTTGCAGTGAAGACTTTTTTCCTGCTCTGTGAGTTTCTGCAGCCAAATAATTTCAAACAAAACCAAGTAACTCACCAGTCAGCATGAACTGATAGGCGTTGTCAGAGATGGAGAAGATGTGTGGAGGGGCCTCCTGGCGCTTCTTGCCTCGGTAGGCCAACACCACCTCCGGGTTGTACACCGGCAGCCACTTGTAGGGGTTGACGGTGACACAGAAGAGACCCGAGTAGGTCTGGAGGAAGGGAGACAGCACGTTGGCTTCCACTGAGCCTGGCAGAGCAGTTCCTGCTGGCTGCCCAAGGGAAGGTGCTGCTGGTACTTACGTAGATCATCCAGGCTGCATAACGCTCTTTGAGGTTGTACAGCACAGCGGGTTCATGGAGGTGGGTCATCATGGCCATGTCCTCGATTTTATCATACTTGGGGGGGTTCATGGAGAAGATTTGATCTTCCTTCACAGTCAAGGTCTGTCAGATGAGGAAAGAGATGCATGTGTGTCAGCTAAGAGCTGAGACTGGGAATTACACACAGTTTTTAAGCCTTGGTTTTTACTCACTTCTCCTGCTTCACTCTTGACAGTGACCTTCCCAGCCTCCCTGCTCTGGATTGTCCCTTTCACAAAGGATTCCTTAGGATGCACCACAAAGACAGATGACTTGGCATCAAAAGGCCTGTTCTGGGCCTCGATTCTCTCCTTTTCTGATTTTCGGAGGTAAGGAGCTGCCTCCCCAAACGCAGCCATCTCAGCGTCTGGAGAAGTCATGGTTGCACTTTATTGAAGGCACGTCAGCATAGAACCCTGTGGGGGAAAAGAAATGTAGCACCAATAGATCACTAAAACATCTTGGTTGCAAGAAGACCATTTCCTATGTTTTAAAATTAAGTACATACTAGAATTGCTAAAACTGGCAAAACCAGCATTCCTACTGAATGATTTAAACTCAGAAAAATCGTTGTTTCATCCTTGAATAGTACAGAATAATCTTTTCAAAATTACTGTTATTTGTGTCTTGTGACAATGTTGAGATTGTTCATTTGCTTTACAGATGGTACAGCTTCTTACTCTTACGTAATTTTATTTTTTTTTAAATAATAATTATATATATACATAGAAAATACTCAGATGCCTTGAATGCAGACTTAAAAAACGTATTTGGAAACCAGTTTCAAAAGAAATAGTATATTCCACAGTATGCAATAAAAGGGGATGCCTAGTTTCTACAAATCACTAGACCCAGCACACTTACCCTGGAACTTTTCTTGAAGACAGGGCAGAGCGCTGCAAAGACGGTTTTATAGGGTCTGGTTGGCAGATGCTCTGGATTCCTCCTCTTTCTTCGGTCAAAGTATTTTTTGGCAAATATTCTTTGGCAAAGCATTGTCTGGCAAACTTAACTAAGGACATAATTGTCATTTGATTTGACCTGATATATTTAGAAATGTTTTGTGTCTTACCAATGATGTGAATGTATCCACTATAAATAATTTGACAAGAGACTTTAGGAGAGAATCTCAATTAGTCAAGGCACTTAAAGAACTTGGATGTAGGACTTATGGATTCTATTGCTGCATTTCCAGTTATTTCTTCCTGGACTCATGGCAGATTTTTATTGCATGTCTGTGCTGCAACTCTTCCAGTTGCATTATGCAGCTAACATTACTATGTTCCATATTATATTTTTGGGCTAATGAAGAAATACATTAAAGGCAGTAGTTAAATTATGTGGAAAAAACCTAAAATGTTCTCAATTTAACTCACGTTCATCTAATATTTGAAACGAGAGAAACAAAATATGTTACTGTATAAATTCATATATACAAAATTCTTGGAAATGGAGATAGAGTGCAAGACAAAAACAAATACATTCTTTTTCTAAACATTCCTGTTGAAAGATGGGGTTCACAGAAAAATGCATTAGGTAGAAATCTGAGTATGTATAAATGTGTAATATTGAGTGACTATCACTAGAGTAATTAACAAAGTTTTTATTATCTCTCTACCTTTAGTACATATTTTAAGAACATGAAAGAACCAAAAATGTAAAGTAAACACCTAATGAGCTTAAGCCTGTGTCTCCAATATGCACATCTCCACTTGCAACAGATACCAACCAATGTCCTCAACCAAGTCAGGAAGCAGGGGAGGTCCCTGTAGCCCTTCACTACCAACAAGCCCAAAAAAGCCACCCCTGCACCCAAACACATCTCTACACACAATCACACACACACAGTCCAAGCTCCTCTGCACTCTGACATGTCCTCACTCCAGCACTCCTGCCCCATCAGAGATCTCTTGCACACTCACACATTCACACAGTTCCAGCAACAAAAGCTACCAACACAGAGCTGCCTACACCAGAGCGCTGGAGGTGGCAGGCAGTCCTGTACAACACCAATACCCTGAGAAAGGGGAGATATGCCATTAGTCCTGGAGACTGACTGATCTAGTCATAGGGAAAGGGCACTGTCACTTGAGCTGTGTTAAGCAGTGTCAGATCTAATCACGCTCTTCTCCTGGTCACTGGCATTTTGGTTATTAAAAGAGCTCAGTGGATAAAGCTCTGAGAGTAGCACAGGGGAAAGGTCATAAAAATTACGCCTGTGGTCCACGGGGATATCGGGCACTGGCCTGTGCATGAGGAGCTTGTTCCGAGGAGGGTGCTGGCACTGCAGCACCCACTTTTCCAGAGTTCAAACCCAGAGCTCACCCCGGGGCTCCCTGCACAGGGCATGGGGAGCCTGATGGAAACACGCTGCGTCCTGCCCAGGAGGAGCCCAGAAAACACCGGTGGGAAACGGTGAGGGTGGGGGCACAGATCTGAAGTCCAGCCTCTGGGCAAGCTCTGACTCCCGTGGACATGCAGAGGTTAGAGCATAGACTCGTACAGTTACTGTCCTTGACTTCTCTTCATGTGCTCTTAAATATCTATTCATGTCTCAGTCACTAGGTAAAAAAGAAGGGATAAATAAGAAATAGCTAACAAGATGCAAAGCAATCTACATGTTTTATTCTCTACATACTGAGGTGGTTACAGAGACCAATTACACAAGAAAGTGACCTAGAGGTTCACATTTTGTGGATCCCTCACGTCACTTGGATGCCTCGTGACGCCTTCACTCTTCCTCTTCTATCTTCTTGCCATGAAACTCCCTGCTCTTGGCCCGGAGCTTGTTGACCTGTGACTCTGCAATGTCAGCCCGCTCCTCGGCTTCGTCCAGCTCGTGCTGGATCTTGCGGAACTTGGAGAGGTTGACGTTGGACAATTCCTCCTGTGCAGGAGAGGGAGAGGTGGTGAGGAGCCCAGGGGTGTAGTTTCATAGCTCTCACACCTCAGCTTCGCAGGGCAGTGGCTCTTCGTTCTGGGAAGGACCAGAACTTCATCCCCTACCACCACTGCTTACACATAAACCTCACTCAGACCTCCTCATCTCCTCCTCTTCAGGACCTTACAGTGAAAAACCTCCTACTTTAAAAGCAATTGTGTCACTTGGATTGGTCCTTGGTGTACTTATTCCCCCCCTACTTGATCCCTGGAAGTGGTGGGACACACTAAGTTGAGAAAGACCCTGAAGCCTTCTGCTGTGGATCAGCAGCAGAGACTCCTGAACATCTCAGCCAGTGGCTGTGGCCCCCGGATTTCTCTAGTTAAACCATCTAGTTAACCTGTGTTAAACCATCTGCAGAATGTCCCTCTGTTCATCCCTGATTAAGGGTGCTGAGAACTCAGCAAGGCCTCAAGACACGACACTGAAACAGCATGGAGAAGGCTGTTGTGTCCTGGGAGTTTCCTATGTGCTCCTTTCCTGCTGTTCATACTCATCTCAATGTGTGCGCTGCCCCGGTGGCTCTTACCCATGCTCCAAGCAATACTTACAGCCTCCTCAGCTTGTCTCTTGTAGGATTTCACCTTCATTTGCAGCTTGTCCACCAGGTCCTGCAGCCGCAGAATATTCTTCCGGTCTTCCTCAGACTAGAGCGGTTGGCAAACAGGGGAGAAAAGCTGAGATTGGTTCTGCACCATGTGAGGTTCACTGCTCCCCTTGGGGATGGTGGCTGCACAGCCTGACTTGCTGTCAGAACACTCTGCCAGCCCAAGGAGGCCTCCTGCCTTACCTGGTAGGTCAGCTCCTTCACCCTCCTCTCGTACTTGCGCACACCCTTCACGGCTTCAGCGCTGCGCTTCTGCTCAGCATCAACCTCCCCTTCCAGCTCCCGCACCTGCAACGACAAGCCCAGCTTTGGAGCTTCCCTGCTGGCTGCTGACA